AAGGTCGTGATTTCCAGCCCATGGAGCCAGCATTTGAACCTTGTACAATTAACTTTCAGTTATGATTTCCCATTGACATTTTCTTTATTCTGTTTGTAGCTGAATGTTGTGTTTTATAAATCCTCCGTTAAAAGCCAGAAGGGTGATTATGAGTGGGTCACAGCAGCCCTGACAAGCTGGGCCAGAAAATTTCACTAGGTCAGTAATTTAAACTTTGGATCTTCAAAAAAATAAAAAAATAAAATAAGTAATAATAATAATAATGTGAAGCAAAACCAACTAAAAAGTGATTCTTGCACATGAACTGTCACGTTTAAAATGTGTTTTTTAGAGAGCCTCAGTCTTACTGATTTCAAACACTTTTTTCTTCTGTGTATTGCTTTTAAGAGAGCCATCAGTTAGCTATCAGACTCTAGGTTGATGCATTTTGTACTTAGCTGTACTGTGTGATACTTTTCATTATTTTAGGACGCCAACATGAGACCTGTAATAAAATATGTAATGGGGTTGAAAGCTGGGGAGGAGGATTTACTGCTGTACAGCTAATAAATCATAATGGATTAACAAGTGCTCTAAAGACTCCCATCTTGTGTGATTCCTGCCTGCTGGGGCTGAAAGCAGCCTTTGCTTGGCTCCAGGTTGTGCCAGCCTCCAGTTTTCAGATGCAAACTCAGTTCCCCAAGATGGCATTTCCTCTGCAGCAGACGAGATGATTTGGCAGATGACAGGCTATTGAGTACATCCTGCTGCAAGTTTTAACTCCCCAAAAGTGTATGTAAGTAGACAAAGGCCAGCCTCCATGTGCCCTATGCACAAAGCAGGGACACCCCAGAGCACCTTGAAGTGGAAGGGACCAATGGCAAGTTCTGTCCCAGAGTCTTGGCTTAAGGAGGACTGAGTTCAGTCCCTAAAGCTCAACTGTACATAGAGAATCAGAGAATAGCTGGGCCCAGCCTCCCCTAGAGAAGTTCATTTGAAAGGGAAAACCCACCAGGATGTAGGGACAGGCTCCTAGGTCATATAACTGCTAGCAAGCTTCAGGGGGTGGTGCATGGCCAGGGATGACATGATGTTAGAAAGCTTATGTATTAATGAAAAGTCATCTTGCTGCTGAAGACCACTTATAAGAAGATAGCTTTTCTAACCCATTTTACATTAAAAGTTTCAGCTACTTGTAGGGGTTTTTAACCAAAATTCCAACTTAACTGATTTTCTCTGAGAAATAACAAAGGACAGATGTATGCATCTTTTGGTTGGTTTGTGCAGTTGGGTCTCTGAGGAAAATATAACCAAGGGTTTCACGACTCAACCAGGCAGTCAACTCCTTGGAGTAAATGATAGTGGCCTCAGGCTATCAGAGCATGAATCCTCCACCCCATCCCTGGGCTGGCCACCACCAGAATTATTTCAGTGGACACATAATTTTTTAAAAAGTTTAGTCTGAGGGCGTAGCACAATGGTAAAGTGCTTGCCTAGCATGCTTGTGGCTTTGGGTTTGATTCCCAGCATTGTCTAATAATTTTTTTTTAAAAGATAAACATTTATAATAGAAAATGAGTTAAAGTTCATTTGCATCTTCAACATAGCCCATCATTTCTGACTGTATTCAAATTGAAAGTTTGAAAGTAGATTTGTTTTGGTTGGGGTAGGCACAAAAGTGACATTCTGGTGAAGCTAAGGCTACAAAGGGATCCTCTTGCATAGCCTATGATGATGCATCCTGTGCAACTCCACAAAATATAAAGCCTCCAGTAGCAGAAGCTATTGTCACCTGTATTGCTTCACCAAAGGGAGCTTCAGATGGCCAAGTTTCTAAGTCTCTGTGTAACTCCCTTCCTCAGCATTAAACCACAGTTGGTACTAGAATAAAAATAATTATTCCCTTTTCCACACCTTGGCTAGCATCTCCCCTGTCTATTGTTGCCCATCTCGGCAAGCACCTTAATGAGCCCTCCTTGCTTCTGGTCAGGAAGATGGTCTTTTAAAACCATCTGTTGAGTGAGCTGCATGACAGTACTGAGTGTCATCCTGTGCTATTCAATAGGCAGGGCTGATTTCCATTGGGAGCTTTTAACGTTTCCTACACACCCATGACATGGTACGCTGTCCAGAACAAGCTGAAGGTCTCACTGAGTCACTGTCGCTTCCTGGAGCTGAATGTTCCTGGTCTCTGATACTAGTTTGTTTTTTGTTTTATTTTGGTTTTATCACTACAGCCCAGACCAGCAATTATGTGCCTAGCACTACACACCTATCCTTAATGTCCATGCAGATCCTGATTTCCTCAACAGCTCCTGCCTGCACCAAGCACTCAACAAGAACAGGGACTGACATGTCAGTGTTGATGCTGACCTTCCTGGGAACTGCAGCAGCTCTTTGACAGTCACTCCCTCTTGTATTTCTCTTTTCCTTGTCATTCTTGACAGAAAAATCCCAGTGAGATGAGTTTCCTCTTGTTCTGAAGTCCCAGAGTTGCCATGGTAGATTCAGCAAATGTAAGTGCTCACTGTGTCTGGCAGTGTTGTGAGCCCTCCTCTTAATAAACATGAAATCTCCAGCAACACTCAGCTAAGTTAATAGTTTCTGCTTATAAAAAAAGGAAGTAGAAGCTAGGCATGGTGGAACATGCCTATARTACAAGAAGGAGTGAGGCAGGAGGATTGCAAATTGGAGGCCAGTCTCAGCAACTTAGCCAGCAAAGCCGTTTCAAAATAAAAAAGTCGGACACAGTGGCACACGCCTGTAATCCCAGCAGCTCATGAGGCTGAGGCAGGAGGATTGCAAGTTCAAAACCAGCCTCAGCAACTGCGAGGTGCTAAACAACTCAGTGAGACCCTGTCTCTAAACAAAATGCAAAACAGGGCTGGGGATGTGGCCCAGTGGCTGAGTGCTCCTGAGCTCAATCCCTCCAAGAAAAACTAAAAAATAAGGGCTGGTCTGGTGATGTAGCTCAGTGGTAGAGCACTTGCCTTGTACAAGTGAGGTGCTGGGTTCAATCCTCAGCACCACATGTAAATAAATAAAAGTATTGAATCCATCTAAAACTAAAAATAAATAAAAAATAAGGGCTGAGGATGTGGCTCAGTAGTACAGTGTTGTGGAAGGTCCTGGGTTCAATCCCTAGAACTACCAAAAAAAAAAAAAAAAAAGGAATTAGGAGACCAGAAAGGCTAAGTAACTTGCTCAGTGTCATGGTAGAGTGCTTTCCTTACATGCATAAGACCCTGGGTTCAATCCCCAGCACCACCAAAAAATAAATAAATAAATAAAATCAGGCAGTCTGCATTCTTGGCCATACTGTGGCAAGACTCGGTTATCATCCTACAGACAGTCTTTGGTTTACATGGCCTTAGAATCTTGGTTTCAATCCAAGTTCTTTTTCAATACAGGAGGTAGTAGAGCTTCTTCTTGCCTTTGTGCAGTTCTTCATTTTCGACATCCTTTCCAGCCAAGTCCTCCATGTCACCCTTCATTGTCACACCATGTGCCTATTGCTTAAGTGAAGGAGGCTTCCCTCAAATTGGTGCTGTTCAGTTCCAACTTTTCTCCTAAGACCAGTCTTTTTGGGGAACCAGTAAGTGGGTATTGAATTTGATTCTGCTTTTTGCAGTACTGAGGGTCAAACACAGAGCTTCATGCATGCTAGTGAAGTACCACTGGGTTACATCTCTAGCCCTGTTTTGCTTTTCAGAGGAGGAAGTCCAGCAATGTAGCTGGAACAGAACTGAATTTGGTGGGTTTTGTTTTTGTTTGGTTTGGGGGGGGGGTGCTGGGAGGGTATTATGTCTGGAGGATGCTCCCACTATCTCTAAGCCCCAAGTCTGGGAGGGGCAGCTAGAGTTGAAAAAGAAACCCAAGGATCACTGCCCAGTATTCTCTCATGCTTTTTGTGTCTTGGGTTTTATGTTTTTGTGTTATGGAATTGAATTCAGGTGTGCTTTACCACAGAACTACAGCCCTAGCCCTTTTTATGTTTTATTTTGAGACAGGGTCTCAAAGTTGCTGCTTATAAGAAAGCCACATCCCCAGCCCTAATTTGTATTTTGTTTAGAGAGAGGGTCTCACTTCTAGGCTTAGCGCCTCCTCGCTGTTGCTGAGGCTGGTTTTGAACTTGGGATCCTCCTGCCTCAGCCTCAAGTTGTTGAGGCTGACCTTGGAATTGAGCTCCTGTCTGGGATTACAAGCATGAACCACCACACCTGGCACTTTCCAAGTCTTTTGACTTCTGCCTGGCTGAGGGTAAAACACTGCTCCTTATCTCATTGTCTCACTGAGCAGTTTTTGGTACTGGAGATTTAACTCAGGGGTGCTTTACCACTGAGCCATATCCCCAAACTATTTTTTTTATTATTTTTTATTTTTTAAATGAGACAGGGTCTCGTTAAATTGCTGAAGCTGACCTCGAACTTTCTCTATCCTCCTGTAGCATTCAAAATCGCTGGGATTACAGGCGTGGGTCACCGTGCTGGGCAGAGAAGGGGTCTGGGCTCATCTGGCCTTTTTTTTTTTTTTTTTCTTCTCTATCCCTTCATGGATTCCGCGGAGTCACATACCCCAGGTTCGGAGCAACACGACTCCCCAGTCTGGACTTTGGAGGGAAACAACTAGGATGTGCCATAGGGATCCCCGGGCGGCAGCGCCTCCTCGTGTTCGAGGCAGGGACTGCAGAGCGGGGTGGAAGTAGGGCGCGGGGAACCGCAGACGGCACGGGACAAACGCGAATCTCCGTCACACCACTGCCACCCGTGTGTGTACTCTGGCGGAGAGGCTCCTGAGTGACAGGACTGGTGGGCAGCTGGAACTCGCCCTCACACCCGACAATCCCCAATCGGGGCAAGCCTCAGCCCGCGGGGAGGGGCCGGGCTGGGGGCGGCTTGGCAGGAAGCGGCGCGTACCTTCCGCTGCGGGAGGAACAGGTGGCTGCAGTGCCGTTTGGGGCCTGCGCTTCCTGTGTGTTCTCCTCCGGCCGCTCTTTCCTGCCCGAGATCGCTGGGTCGCCAGGCTGGCCTGGCCCCATGGCCCAGACCCCCGACGGCATATCTTGTGAGCTGCGAGGTAAGTGCTGGTCCTTCCTGTCCACTGGGCCCAGAAGAGGCAGCGTGGCCCCAAACCAAAGCCACCACCACCACCAGCACCCCAGAGGACTGTGCACCTCCGGAGCGTCCCTGCATCCACTCCACTTCTTGCTGACTGCCTGGTAGATGAGCCCTTAGCGCCCAGCCTGGCTTAAACCATGGGTGCGAGGAGCTTTGACAGCATGACCAAAGTAACCCAGCACTGTCCTTCCACAGGCGAGATCACCAGATTCCTGTGGCCCAAGGAGGCTGAGCTGCTCCTGAAAACCTGGCTACCGCAGGAGAGCGGGGAACGAAGTCATATCCTGGTATGGTGGGAAGGAATAGAACCTGGGAGAGCGCTAGGGCCCAGCAAAAAACTTCTTGCTCTGCCTAGAGAATCAAATTCTGTCTTCCCCCAGGCACTGCTGCGATGGAGGGCCTACCTGCTCCACACCTGCCTCCCACTGAGGGTGAGTCCCAGGGCCTGGCCCCCACCCCACTTTCCCTCCAGAAGCTTCCTTGGCTAGGGGCTGCTTCTGCAGAGTTGTCTTTGCCCTATGGTCTCAGGCTTTCCAGCACTAGGCTCCAAGCAGCAAAAAAAGAGGACAGTCTGTACAAGTTTAGCTCTGGGCTCTAGGCTGCTCAAAAAGCTGGGTTCCTCACAATTCACAATAGCTAGACTGTGGAACCAACCCAGATGCCCTTCAATAGATGAATGGATAAAAAAAATGTGGCATTTATACACCATGGAGTATTACGCAGCACTAAAAAAATGACAAAATCATGGAATTTGCAGGGAAATGGATGGCACTAGAGCAGATTATGCTTAGTGAAGCTAGCCAATCCCTAAAAAACAAATACCAAATGTCT